TTTTTGCAATCAAAATGAATGATGCACCATAGATTTCCGTTTGCAAACTTGTCTTGAATCTTTTTAATATGTTTATTTTCTCTTAGAGACCATCTAATTGATTTTTCTCTTTGTTCTGCGTTGTTGCCTAAAACTTTTACTGCTGCTACCTTAGCTTTAAAATCTCCTTTTTCTTTGCATATTTCTACCTTAGGTGCCCATATACTACTTTCTAATGATGTACTACTATTTTTCGATCTTCCTATTTCTGACAATTTTTCAAGTTTGTCTCCTATTTCATCTTTGGATATACCGATCTCTATGCTACTCTCTATAAGACATATATCTTCCATATCTTTTTGTGTGTCGGGTTCCTCTACCTCTTTAGTTTCTATGCTTCCATACTTTATTTGGTAAGGGTTTTTGTTTATATCTTCTATAGGCTTTTGATTTTGAATCTCATTTACTTCTACTATTGCTATACTTTCTACTCTCATTTCTACTTCTTTTATCTCTTTTGTTAGCTCTTCTTGTTGTATGTTTTCTACTTCTTGTACTTGTTCTAGAATTGCCTTTACTCTATCTATCCCTTCGCAAAAAGCTGCTCTTTCTATTACTGTACGCCACTGTCTTGCTAGCGTAATACACTCTTTATCTATATTCATTACTTTTGCTACTATTTCATCTAAGTGATCAATTTGTCCTAGTACTGATGAGCTACCTTCTTGAATAATTTCTCTTCTATATTCTTTAGTTATCTTCTTAATAAAGAATTTTGAACTTTCCGTACTCCACATAATCTATCTAATTTTCTTAGTCTATCTAAATTTATATTTAATCTAATCTACCCAGTAAATTATTCGAAATTATTTAGTGCTCAATTTGTGGCCCCCCAGGAGTTGTCCGGTTTTGGTGTAACGTATATCTTTATGTAATATATTCTATTTACTATTTTCCTTATGCGTCACGTGACTTTTGTTTACGTGATTTGTTTTCTAATCTGATTTGTCTAGTTTAGGAAATTTGTGTAACCTGTACGATCAGATTTTCCAGAGTTTGGCAATTCCCCAAAATTTTTCAAAATATAGCGAAAAAAAATTTTTTAAAAGCTATTTTTCTTCTATATCTTTCAAGAAAGTGACTTGTTTTTTCTTTTAGCTTTATTTCTAGTTATAATTCTTTGTCTAGAATCCTTTTTCTTAATAGAGTTTTACTAGTTTCTTATTCGAGTTTAGGAGTTTTCTCTAATTTTTCCTTAGCTACGAATTTGGTCCAAATGATCTACGGAGAGAGTGTGTTTTTGATAATAACTAAAATTGTATATATAGCTTGTTGTATATTCTTTATATAATTACAAACAGTAGAGATTATTAAAATATAATTCTATTTGTAATACTAATAAAATTTCTTTAGCAATATAAGCTATCTTAACAACAAAAAAAAAAAAAAAAAAAACTAAAGTTATATATATAACTTGTTATATACTTATCATATAATTATAAACTTTAAAGATTACTATCTCTTAATCTGTAGACTATTCTAAACAAATTTGTCTAAAAATTTATATAACAATATCTATAATCTATATTTTTATAAAATTAATAGATTTAAACAAAAATTTTTTTAATAATATTTAAAAATAAGGATTATATAATTATAGTATTTATTTTTATTTTATAAAAAAAAAAATATAGGTTGTCTATATACTAAGATTAAATGATTTAAAGAAATTTTTTTATTCAAAAAATTTTATTACTTATTCTTAGTGAACTCCTTAACTATTAGCTATCTGTTTTTTTTAAAATTAGAATTATATAGAATATATCAAGAGAAACAACTTTTATTATTACAATTTTTATGATTTAATTATAAAAATTTTAATTTTCATAGAACTAAAAAATTTTTTTAGCTTCAAGAATATATAAAATTTTAAAAATTTTTAAAAAAAATTATCGCAGTTTTTAAAATAGTTGAAAATATTAAATAATATATTTTTTTTATAAACACTTGAATACTTGAACACTTGATTACTTTAGTATATAAAGATCAATGCTAATTTATATTATATAGATTATACTAGGCAGTATAGTCTGTACTACCTAATATAATCTATATAATGTAAATTAGTATTAATTTTTAATATACTAAAGTAATCAAGTATTCGAGTATTTGAGTGTTCACAAAAAAAATATTATTTAATATTTTCAACTATTTTGAAAACTGCGATAATTATAAAAAATTTTTTAATATAAATTTTAAAGATTTATGATTCAAAAACTACTTAACAAAAATAAGAAAATTTCTTAATAAAGTTTATAGAATATATTTTTAACAATATATTCTTTTTTTTTTATTGTTAAAGCTACTTCCTTAGCCAATTAGATTTTTTAGTTTGTTATTACAGAACTATCACATGAATAGTTTCTTAAGGTTTTACAATTATATGATAAGTATATGACAAGCTACATTTATAATTTTAGTTATTATCTAATTTAAGTAGTCTGCTATACAGATAATCAACTATCTGTTGGTTTTATACTATACTGCTATACCTGCAATCCATCTGTAAGTTATCTATTTAAATACTCTAATTATTAACTTTTTCTTCCATCTTAAACTAACATTACTACTATATTTAACTACTTAAGCCAGCTGACTTATATGTAGATCTATTTACTATATGGCTTAGATCCTCTTAGAATGCATATTGCCTAACCTATTATAAGCATATTGAGTTCTGGTTAACCTCAGAAATATTTTCTACTAGAGTAGTTATGTGTTTATTTTACAGATTCATCTGAATTAGACTCTTGTCAATATTTGTATAAACCTAGTTCCTGCTATAGCTCTTCACTAGATATAGTCTTCTAAGTTTTAGCTAAATATTTCACAAGGTAGATTCTTCTAATTAAGTTAGCTACTAAGCTAAATTAGTATTGCTATTTGTGATTAGCACCAGACTGCAGATTCATAATAGTCTTACTCATATCTACTCAATTTTTATTCTTCATACTCAGGTTTTTCACTAAATCAAGCATTAGCTAGCTTGATTATTGAAATTTGTACTACTTTACCAACCTTAGAATTTTTACCATGCAGGTTCTTAGCTCATAGATTCTATTAAGATTTATTCATGCAACATAACTCGAATATTGTATTATACTTCTAATATCTAATTAATATTAGTGTGATATAATTTACAATGTTGTAATCTTCAGAAATAGACAGAGTTTACTATAAATTAGATACAAAGATCTGAGTAATTATTCAAATTTATCAATAGTAGAATTTGAATTCTAGACCTCTTGTATAGCAGTCTAGCAATCTAATTACTACAAAGATCACTAGATCTAACAATATATTTTATATATAATATAGACTCTATATTATTAATATTTTATTAAATTATTTAAAAAATAATATTTACTCTTTAATTTTCTAAGTAAATTTGCTTGAAATATAGTTTAAGAGATATTACTTTATTAACTCAAGATTTTTACTATGCAGATTCCTTGCTTGTATATTCTATCAAGATTTCTTTATATAATATTACATAATACTTTCAAGTTCAGATAATTTGATACAACTTAATTTACAAAAATATATTTTCAGAAACAGACAAATTTATTATAATATATCACAAGGTCTAAAAAATTATTCAAATTCATTAATAGTAGAATTTGAACTCCAAATCTATTGTATAACAGTCTAGTAATCTAACTACTATATTATAAGATTACTAGACCTTATGATTATTTATTTTTGAAAAATAGTAATTGAATATTATTGAATATTTTCTTTTAATTTTAGTTATAAAAAATATTATTTCAAGCATAATATACTTGAAATAATATTTTTGCAGAACCAATTTTCTTATATAGATTTTAAACACTAAATATAATACTCTAGTGATTTACATGATATTATTTGTTTACTAACACCAACAAAATTATATTCTAACCTTAAAGTAACTCTAACTTAGGCCGAGTATTATTGTGAGTTACCTGTGGTTGCCATCCTAGTAATTATAGACGCAAACCATTATCTAAGTATATATTTTAGAATCAATTTTACCTTAAAGTATAATCCATTTAATTTTATTGTAAGCCAAATCTTTAGAATTCTACAGCATTACAAATGTCTATTTGGAATCTACTTAAGTCGATTCTAAATCAACAATAACGAAACTTTGCAAAGACCTTAGTCAAGTTTATTTGCAAAAGTCAAAAGAGATCAATTAACTTTCACCTCCTTCTCTCCAAGAAATAATATTAAGTCTAAAAATGATAATGCCCTTATTTTAGACATACAAAATCTCAACGGTTCTTTGAACGAAATCATGATGTTTTTTTATGAAACTGCAGCACATGATATAATTGCTACTAAGCAGTATATTAATAGAGATTTACGTACTCATCTCGAGCTAATATTTGCAAGCAAAGAAAAACTTAAATACTATACTATAAAAGTAATTGAGATATTTAATAAGACTTATTATAGCTATATTCTAACTGATATGAGAAGATTCTTCCTTTCGGTTAAAGTCAGAAATATACCTCTAGATAACAAGGAAGATATCTCAGAAGAAATTAAAGAGATATTTAATGATATAGATAAAATCGTTTCAATTAAATCTCTTTTAATTGAAGGAACTCCCTATTTAACAGACTAATAGATAGTTACTTTTGAGACTACTGATGACTTAGATCTTGAAAAAAGAATTCTACACTTTGAAGTTATCTTTGATAACAAAATTACCACCAAATAGTGCTCTGATCCTAAACTTTGTTATTTTTGTGACAAAGAAAGACATATTAAAAAAAAATATCCTTAATTTAAAGAAGCTCTATTACTCCGTCAACAACATAAAGAATTCCTTGCTAACAAAAAAAAAGGGTAAAAATACTCATATTGAATTAGACAAGGAAGTAACAAACTAACAAAACCCTATCAACTCTGACAAAGATATAGAAACTAAAACTTCTTAAATAGAGAAAACTCCAGAAAACAACTCTTCTATAATGGAAGATATTAACTCAGAAAGTTCTTCTCCAGAAAAAGAAAATATAGAAATTCTATCAGTTGAAACTCTTGACAATAGCAACAAAGAGAACTTCATAACTGATAACATACAGTTAGAAACTACTATAGAAATTGAAGATACTAACTCTTTGAAGACTCTAATAGTACTTATTACAAACAGTAATAAGCTACACTTGCAAACAAATAATCTTGAAGAGAGATTCACCACTGTTTCTTCAAGAAAAAGAAAAAACAAAAAAGACACTTCAGAACAAAAAGAAGAACTAATTAGAGCTACTCCTTATAAGAAAACTCGTATTGGAGCACAAAACTCACAGATCTAATTCTGTACTACTCTATCTTCAATATGACTAATCAACTTAAATTTAAAGTTGTAACCCTTAATATTAAGGGGTTAAACAATCAACAAAAACAACAGAACACTCTAACTCTTTTAAAATCCTACAAATTAGATATAATTATATTACAAGAAACAAATTTAAATGACCAAAACACATGAAATTTTCTTAAAAACCAATAGATTTTTGATTCCATTTGGACAAACAAAATAGCTATTCTCATAGGTAACAAAAATATTTTATTTAAAGATACAGAAATAGACTTAGATAATAGAATTATTTCTATAAACTTTGTATACAAAGAGCTCATATTTCAAATCTTTAATATCTATGCTCCTCCTAATCTCAGCGACAAAAAGCTTTTTTTTGAAAAATAGATACCTCAAAACAAAGATAACTCTATTAATATAATTGCAGGAAACTTCAACACTAATCTATATCTAGAAATAGATAGAACTAGTGAAGCAGCTCTACTACAAGATATAACAAGAGCTCAACTACAAGATCTCACAAAGAATTTTTTAGACTTACCAAATCTTGCAAAGTCTAGACTTTCTATACCTTCTTTCAAAAAACCTAAAAAAATCGCATAATGGCTACTCATCTCGATTATATATTTATTGATAAAAATAACGCAAATCTAATCTTACAAATTGATACAAGATTTGGTAATTTAGAACATCTTTTAGTTGAATGTGTACTCAACTTTAGTACTAAAAGAAAAGAATCTGATCTCTGGAGATTTAACAAAGATTGTTTTAAAAATGAAAAACTAAGAAATGAAGTTTTCAACAAAATTACTGAGTTAAAAGATCTTGAGGATTAGGACTTTTGCAAAATTCATATACAATCAATTATAAGAGCTTTCAAAAAACTAAAAGTTACTAAAAGCAAAATCACGAAATTAAACAAAGATATTACTCAGATTAGAAAAAGACTTATACATAATTCTAAGAACTCTTTTTTACATATTTAAGTAGACAAACTAGGCTTAGATCTCTAAGAAGAACTAACCCATCTTGCAGAAAAATAGCAAATTTGTTCTAAAGCTCAATGGATTGAACAAGGAGAAAGATCTACAAAATATTTCTTTGCCAGATACAAAATAAGAAAAACTCATTTAGCTCTTAAAGATATCAAAGATCTTGAAGTATCGTTACAAACTAAAGAGAATATTCTTCACTATATTAGAAACAAATATGAAGAAATTTATAAAAAAGAAGACTTCAGCTTGATCTCAGCTAAAGAAATCACAGAAAATCTGCCTCAAGTCTCCTTATCACACAATCAAGAGCTAATACATGAAATTTTTCAAGAAGAAATTAGCAATGTTATTAGGAATCTTCTTAATAACAAAGCTCCTGGAACTGATAGTCTAACTTATGAGTTTTACAAACTCACAGAAGAAGTTATAACTCCAATTCTCTATAGAGTTTTTAATTACACTCTATCATCAGGCGTAATGTCTTCTTCTTAGTATAAAAGTCTAATTACTCTAATACTGAAAAAAGTTTCAAACTTAAAAGACATTAACAATTGGAGACCTATATTATTAGTTAATAGTGATGCTAAAATCTTTATAAAAATTATTGCTAATCACTTTAGTTCTATCTGCGAGGAACTTATACCACACTAACAACAAGGATTCATCAAGAATAGATCTATTACAGATGCTGTTTTAGACATTATTACAACAATAAGAAATCAAGCAGATCTGTCTAAACAATACTAGTTACTTTTTATTGATCAACAAAAAGCTTTTGATCAAGTTAACCACAATTTTTTAGAACTTATCTTAAAGAATATGAACTTCGATACCAAGTTCATTAATTTTGTTCAAAACCTCTTCTCTAATCAAGAAGCTCATATTACTGAAGCAGGTGATATCTCTAAACCTTTTAGAGTAGAAAGAGAAGTTAGATAAGGGAACCCTCTTTCATCTTTGTAATATATATTAGCTTTTGAGCCTCTTATAAGACTCTAGAAAATTATCTACATAATATTAAACTGAGAAACTAATATTTTAAATCTTCAGCTTATGCAGATGATTTAACTATAGGAATCAGTTTCTTAACAGATTGAAATGAGGTTCAATTCTCCCTAAACTTATATAAAGCTACCTCTAATACCAAAATTAATAAGACCAAAACAAAGCTAGTTCCTCTTACTTCTACTGCTCGAAGAGTTAAACTCCCTAATGAAAAACAATTTTTAAACTAGAAGAACAAAATACTATTACTATCTTAGAATACAATATTCTTATGAATGGTCAACCTAAAAAAGACTTATGGTCAACAACCCTCAATAAGCTAAAAGAATCTCTTAACAAATTAACAAACAGAAATCTTTCTTTCAAAGGAAAAATCTTGATATCTAAATCACTTATTCTATCTAAAATCTGATATTCTGCATATCTTCTACCTCCTAACAGAAAACAAGCTGCAGATATCAATAGAATCATTTCTCTATGGATTAAAGGCACTTCACGTATGCTCCCTAGGTACTCTACTTTTCAACAATCTATAGAACTTGCAGGACTTCAGGCTTCAGTTATCAAAGATATGTTAGATACTCATCTAATTTCTGTCTGAATTAAGCTTCTTACTTTGAACTCCATGTGGGCAATCTATAAAAGAAACAAAATTAGACCTATTCTTAGAGCTAAAAGAAATATTTCTCTTTTACAAGCTTTAAGCTTGAATAATATATATACTAAAGCTTGGCCTACAAAATAGAAACCTTATTTAATAGCCTAGACATGAATAAAAGGGAAAATCTCCTCTACCTCTAATTGGCCTTAGAATAAAGAGGAAATTTCTGCAGGAGATATTAAAGAAAATAAGCTCTTAGTTAAAAAATCGTTAAAGCTTCTTAAAAACTCAACATTTCCACATATCTTACCTCAAACTTCTCCTCAAACTACATAAGCTATCTGGTTAACTCTTAAGCCAGTATGTAATAAGAAAAAAGATATTTTCTAGTATCTCTTTCATAGAGCTCTTCTTTTAGGCTACTGCTTTAGACATATAGGACCAACAGAAACCAGAAACTGTTTTTGGTACTCTGACAAATTACAAACTATTGAATACTTTGCTATTGAATGCTCTAAAAGCAAAATTATCTGAGAAGAAGTATACAAGTTCCTTGATATCAATGAGAGAAAAACCTCATTTACTATGATGAAAGAAATTTTTGAGCCTACAAGTTATAATAATTCTCAAATATTAGTAGCTATATCCTGGTTACATATTAATACAATCTATGAAATCTGATATCATTATACCTCACTTAAATAGAGAGACTCAGATATTCTGCTAAATTCTATTAGTCCTTTAATCAAAAATTATATCTCTAAGGAAATACGATCTTTAAAATTTAGCTTGTCTTATAGCAAGTCTAAAACTACTAAATCTCTATGTAAATATTTAAAATGTATATAGATTATTTATAATACTTTAATAAAAGAGTGCTACCTGTGCCTCGAGTTGCAAAAGCAACAAGAGATAAAAAAAAAAAAAAAAAAATTTTTACAATTAAATTATAAAAATTCTAATAATAAAAGTTATTTCTCTTAATAAATTCTATGTAATTTTAATTTTAAAAAAAGCAGATAGCTAATAGTTAAGAAGTTTACCAAGAATAAGTAATAAAATTTTTTAAATAAAAAAATTTTTTTAAAGTTATCTAACTTTAGTATATAGATAATTTATATTTTTTTTCTTATAAAATAAAATAAATACTACAATTATATAATCTTTATTTTCAAATATTATTAAAAAAATTTTTGTTTGAATATATTAATTTTATAAAAATATAGATTATAGATATTATTACATAAAATTTCTAGACAAATTTACCTAGAATAGTTTACAGATTAAGAGATAGTTTTTTTATAAGATTATATTAACTAAAATTTGATCTAAAAAAAAAATTTTATTGAATAAAAGTAGAAGATTTTGAGATTACTAGATAAAAATATAAGATAACTAGCTAAATATTAAAAAAAAACTAGATTAATTAACTAATAAAGATTTATAGTAGAATCTAGAGTTGTATAAATATTACAAAAGTTTAAGCTAGATAAATTCATAAAATAGATATATGATTATTCTAGTAGAAATTGCTTCTAAAATTACTAAAGCTTTGTATATTTACAATATATTAAGTAATATTATCAAATAAACTTTAATATATTTTCTTAATTATTTATTATTATATTACTTTAGATATTTAGATTTATATATTAGTATTTCTTTTGAATTCTTAATAGCTAAAAATAGATTTAGATTATACTATTTAATATAGCTTGATTAAACCTTTAAAATAAGCTATAAATATTATCTGTAACATATATAGTTCTTTTTTTTTTTTTTTTTTTTTTTGTTATTAAGGCGGCTTACATTGCTAAAGGAATTTTATTAGAATTGCATACAGGATATCCATTGATAGTCCCTACTGTTTGTAATTACATGAAGAGTGTACAACAAGCCACACATATAACTTTAGTTATTGTCTAATTAAGTAGTCTGCCACATAGGCGATTAGACTACTCGATTAGTTCTACACTATGCTGCTATACCTGTAACCTGCCTATGAGTTACCTATTTAAATACTCTGTTCATTAATCCATACAGATCCAACCTAATGTCACTACAACACCTAACTGCTTAAGCTAGCTAGCTCATTATAGATCCATTTATCTAGAATAGCTTAGGTTTTCTCAGAATACATTGTATCTAATATATTGTAAATACCGCAGAGCTGGTTAATCTCAAAGCATACCTACTAGAGTGGTCTATACTCATTTTACGGATTCACCTAGCTTAGACCCTTATAGATATTCATATAACCCCAGTTCCTACTATGCTTCTCCACTAGTTTTTCTGTATCTATCTTCTTGGATATTTCACAAGGCAAATCTTCCCAATCCAGTTAGCCGCTAAGCCAAGTTGGTGTTACTGATTCTTTCTGTAGAACAGATTTATGTATACCCGACTCAATCTGCATCTTTCATTGATAGTTTCTTTTCTGGATCAAGTGTTAGCCGGTGTAACTGTCGAAGGCCGTACTACTTCACCAACTCGGGATTTCTACTATGCAGATCCCTTGCCTATAGATCCTATCAAGATTTATTCATGTAATGTTACATCTCGCCAAATGCCTCGTTATACTTCCAATATCCAGATGATATTGGTGCAACATGATTTATAGGGTTACAACCCCAGAAATGAACAGAGTTTACTGTAAGTTAGGTACAAAGGTCCAGGTAATTATTCAAATTCATCAACAGTGAGATTTGAACTCCAGACCTCTTGCATAGCAGTCTGGCAATCTAACCACTACACTAAGATTGCCAGACCTTTATATAGTTCTTGAGTTACTTTAGAATTAATATTTAGATAATTTTTTTTTTTTTTTTTTTTGTTATTAAGGCCACTTCCTTGGCTAATTAGATTTTATTAGTTTGTTATTATAGAACTATTATATGAATAGTTTTCTAAGGTTTTATAGTTATATGATAAGTGTACAACAAGCCACATGTATAACTTTAGTCATTGTCTAATTTAAGTAGTTCACCATACAGATAATTGACTATCTGTTAGTTCTACACTATGCTACTATACCTGCAATCTGCCTGTGAGTTATCTATTTAAACACTCTAATCATTAATTCTTCTCTCTATTCCAAACTAATGTTATATTATAGCTAACTGCTTAAGCTAGCTAGCTTATCTGTGGATCTATTTACCGTACAGCTTAGATCCTCTTAGGATATATATATCTAACATATTATGAGCTACAGAGCTCTAGTTAACCTCAGAAGTAAACTAACTAGAGTAGTCTGTATCTATTTTACAGATTCACCTAGCTTAAACTCTTGTAGATGTTTGTATAACTCTAGTTTCTACTATGACTCTCTACTAGTTTTCTGTATCTATTTTCTCAGATATTTCATGAAATAGATCCTTCTAATTTAGTTAGCTACCAAGCCAAGTTGGTATTACTAATCCTTCCTGTAGAACAGATTCATATACATCTGACTCGATCTGTATCTTCTGATAATAGTTTCCTTTTTGAATTAAGTGTTAGCTGATATAACTGTCAAAAGCTATACTACTTCACTAACTTAGGATTTCTACTATGCAGATTCTCTGCCTATAGATTCTATCAAGATTTATTTATGTAATATTATACTTTCTAAACATTATATTATATTTCTAATATTCAGATGATATTGGTACAATATAATTTACAGGGTTACAACTCTAGAAATGAACAGAGTTTACCATAAGTTAAGTACAAAGGTCTGAGTAATTATTCAAATTTGTCAACAGTAGAATTTGAACCCCAAACCTCTTACATAGTAGTCTGA